CAACGTTGCGCAACTATTGTTTCATTCTTCCTCTTCCTCTCGTAGTGCGTTTCCCAACTCATTGAAACTTCTATGTTGCGTATGTCTACGCAATCCTCGAACGCGCGTATATATAGTGAAGATTTCCCTCTCATTTGTATTCGTAGCGTTTAGTGTATTGTACTTTATTATATTGTTCTATCTTTGGTGCGAATAAATATTCGGAGTAATAAATAGACTCATCACACAAACCATGAACTGTAACACGAACAAACTTGAAGATCTTCCCAGTGAGATAATAATGGACATTCTGGAGTATTTAGATGCATATGACATATACAATGCGTTGTATAATTTAAACTATCGTCTGAATTTAGTGATTAATGATGTACGGGTCAGCAAACGGGTTCATCTATTTTCGAATGTAGATGAATCACAATTCAATTTTATGTGTAATGAAATATTACCTCAGATACAGGATCGAATATTATCTTTAGTCATTGCTCATAATTCTCGTATACACACACTTACAGTAATCTTCAATAGTCTTGAACGATTTACCTCATTAAGAAAATTGACATTAATTGATATTGAGACAAAAATAGATTTAAAAAATATTTTAGCAAAACAACAGCAGTTGAGTAGCATAGATATCTCTACGTATAAAATTGATAATGAAATGTTGATTAGCGATATTTGTGGCATGATAATATGTGAAAAGTTGCCTAGATTAAAAGAATGTTCACTGAGTTTTCGAAATAATTGTATATTTAAGAATGTAACAACTAGTTATATTAAATATCTAACAATTGGATGGTGCTCCATGACTGAATTGATTGTGTTATTACATCATACACCTACCCTTAAAACATTAAATATTCGATATTTGCATGATTATGACTTTTCAACCTTAGATGATACAAATTTGGTTGTGAAAATTTTAAATGTATTTCTATATTGTGTACCATTTAATAACATCGAATTGTTGTTGAAACATATGTCAAAATTGAAAAGTGTAACAATTAAAGGGCATTTAGATGATTATAATTATACAGATGGCCAACAATGGCAAACATTATTAACATCTTTCTTACCGCTATTGGAAATATTTTCTGTAAACATCAATGTTGCTACAAGCATATCAAGTACAGGTGATCTACTAGCAAGCTTTCAAACAGAGTTTTGGCAATTTCAGTGGCATTTAGAAGTCGAATGTCGATACAAGAGACATTTGATACTCATTCTCAATGGGAAACGAAATGTTAGTCAACAAGAAGCACCGGACTAGAATGTTTATTTCCTTGTACTCATCTAGTTTTCAGACGAATGGCTTGATTTGAGAGACAACAAATGGAATAAGAGTGCAAATACAAAATAAGTATAGCCAAAATTAAAAAGAAACTTTCCCGAATTGTTCTGGTGACAGCACAAAGTACACGAATCACATTCCAAAAATAGTGAATTATGTGTTCTTTTCGCTTTTTCTGTACTTTTTCTTTGAGTAAAAGAATAACTAATATCTAACTCATAATTTTTAATAAAAACTGAATCGAAATCATTAATGAATGGAAATTATTAGGTGTACACAGCCGAGACGCTGTTGCCTTGACTGTATGTCTTATATAATAACAGTGACTTCTTATCTGTCTGATCGGTCACGGTCATATATTCTGAACTTGACTAAGGTTTCATCCTGCAGAGGTTGTTAAGGGGTGTCCTTCACCCGTTTTTTCCATTAGTTTGTTGTAGACACTTCAGAGTATATACTACAAAGACGTTTGGGCTTTTGCAATTTGCAATTTTCAATAGAAGGCTTTTTAAGTTTCTATTTGGTTCCATTCTTAACATTTTACTAAAAAAGTTTAGTTTTAGATATGAAGAGTTGATTCTAGAGTAGTTTGATACACGACATTAAATTGTTTACAGATAAGAATTCAAAGCAATTTTCGAATGAAATTTAATGTAGAAATTTATCATTTCCCTTCTCGATGATATTTAAAAAAATAAAACATTTTTCTAGCGTATTTTCCCAGGAGGTGTGTTTGATGCAATGCGTGCGTGAACTTTAGCGAAGCTCCAA